AGGGGGGTTGGAACTGGATGATCTTTGAGGTCCCTTCCAACCTTAATGATTCTGTGATTTAAATGACAGCATCAGTGTGAAAGGACTGCTGTAATTTCAAAAGCACTTTGTTTCTGTCTCCCATTTTAGTGCTAAGTATAAGCATTAGACACTGGTTATCCCTTTAAATTTACATTTGGGAGTCTATTCCAAAATGTTAATTGCTGCTTTTGATGGGCTTTCATCATACCCTGGCTTGAAAGGACTCAGCAAATGCCACGTTTAACATGCAAGGTTTGCTGCTTCAGAGCAATCTGATGGCTGGGAAGAAAAATGCACTGCTGGTGACTTCTTTCCAGTGTCTCAGTGAGCAACAGTGCATTGAATTCTGCTAGGAAGAAGATTGCCATGCCTATTATCCTTCTGTCTCTCCACAGAAGGTACAAAAACACCATATAGAAAGCAAGAACATTGCCAGAATGAGGCATTTTGCTCTTAGTATTGCACTGCAGACCATTTCACACTGTTCCCCTTCAGAATGACCCAGGTTGGTATTTCTTAGCAGCATCAGCCTGTCTGGAGGGTGGGGCTGAATTGGGGGAGTCAGAGAGTGTAAATTGAGAAGTTCAGTAATTAGGATAAATCACCATGTGTGATGCCTTCCCTGTGCCTCTCGCTTATCATGCTGTAGCTGTCATCAGTCACTTAAGAGGAATCCTGGAAACAGTAGCCCTGATGATAATGAATGTTAGGGTGCTTGGTTAGCTAATGGTAACAGCCTGAATGCAAGGAAACACTTTTTCAAGGGATTGTGCTGAAAAAATGTTCTCGTTTGTTTACTTTCTGTGGGGGAAATAGGTTGCACTTGTTGGATTTTTCCAGATGGACTGGGCTGCAACTGTCTGTCCTCTCTTCTCAGACCTCTCCTGAGTTGGAAGGCTTCATTCTCAGTTTGAGACTAATCCCAGGGCTCACTTTATGTGCACCTGAGGTTGGACATAAAGCAGAACTGAAAGAACCTCTCCCTGCTTTGGTTGCTTTTTCAGAGCCTGTGTTTGGGCTGCTACAGCCTTTGTGTGGCTGTGAGCTCTGCCAGGTCAGGTTAATTTGGTGTGGGAAGAGGAGACTTCCAAACCCACTCTCCTCCCTAGCAGCTGCATGCCATGTGCATGTCAGCACAGTTCACAAACCAGCCAGGACTACCTGTCTATTTTTTATTTCAATTTAAACCTGCCATGCCTTGCAGATTCTTAATCACATGAGACTCAATGTAGAACCACAAGTACTGGTGGCTGGGTGGGACAAGCGTGTTACCTTCCTGGAAGCAGTTGCCATCTGTGCTGTTGGAGACATACAAAGTGATAGTTATGATCTGCTGTTGGCAAAATGTTTAATCCAGGTTTTCTGCCTTGCTGGTCGTGTCCTGCAGCTCTGCACACCAAGCTGCAGATAAGGCTGCTGTGATAATTTTTTTTTTTCTTGATCTCTTCTTTCAGGATTTTGACACTTGTGGAGTTTGCCAATGTTTCCAACTGCATAACCACTGCAGCTCTCCCAGGATTGCTGAGGAAAAGGCTGTGGAGCTTGTTTTCCTCACTTTGGCAAGAAATGCTGTAGTTTAGCCACCTTCCCTGGGAACTGAATGTCATCAGAGTTGGCTGGTTGGGATCGACACATTTTGGCCCTGATCCAGGGATCCTGTGTGGAGCCAGCATCCAAAAACACTCAAAGTTTAGGGTTTTTTGTAAAAGACATACCTTGACTCTGCACTGGAGACCTCCCTTCTCCTCGTCCCTGGCAGTGGTACATCCCTGGTAGATACCAGGCCTGTCAGTGCCCCCTCACTGGTGTGACCACTGGCTGGTGCTCCCCTGCCTGTGTCCTTCAGGGAGGTGGCTGAGAGGTTGGGGATGCAGTTTTATAAGGTGGCAGCTTCTTTGGGGGCAGGAGAAGCAGATCCTTCACTCTGGTGTGCCCCCCACAAGGCAGCAATTGTGCTGCATTGAACTGGGCATGGTGGAGTTGCAGCAAGAGCAAGAAACGGGGGGGAAGCAACACCTTAATTACTGCAACATCCCTAAAGCATAATCCTACCTACAGAAATAATCTGTCAGTATCCACAATTGCTCTGGGCTGGTCTCGCTGTGTTTGTAGTGTCTCTTTAGCTTAATAGTCTAAATTGAAATGTGCAAGTGACCAAATCTTTTAATCAATTAGAGCAAATGTGGGGACTGAGGCCTTCAGACACTACTGAGGTGCAGTCACCAGGCAAACCTGATTTGATTATGTTTTCTGGCAAGAGTGTCTAAAGCCCAATCAATTACTGTGGAGAGATGGAACAGCTAAATAAGGTTTAAATTAATAGGGTTCATTATTTTTACATCTGAGGAGGAGGCAAACCAGACAGAGTGAAATATTCTGTAAAGAAATTGGTTCATATTTCTTCTTCTGTGACTTGATGATGTTTAAACCTGTACTTTAAAGGTTTCAGCTTGAGCCTGAGATGGCAGTTGAAGTTCTGCTCAGACAATGTAAAGAAGTGTGTGGCCAAAGCCAGTGATCACAGTAAACCCTGCAAAATGAAGAGATTAAAAATTTATAATCCCTCATAGGGGAGGTACTTAATAAGGTCATTAAAAAATTAAGAAGAAACTGACAACATATATTAAAACAAAAGCTTCTTCTCTTTAACTTGACTTCAGAGGATAAATTCTTTGGGGAAATGTGCAGTATTAGAATATCAAAGGAGCTGACTCTGCAGGTTTGTAGAACTTGGAGCCTGAGCCTGAAATCCCTGAGTGTCTCTGCATCTCCAGCCTCCTGGCCTTGTTCTGCTCACCTAATACTCTCTTCTCCCAGTGTTTCTTTATGCTTAGTTTTTATTTATAAAAAAAAAACAGGACATGGCCTGACAGCCCTTTTGGGAAAGATTGTTCCATATATTCAAGCTAAACCTCCCCTGGCACAACTTGAGGCCATTCCCTCTTCTCCCATCCCTTGTTCCTGGGGAGCAGAGCCCGACCCCCCTGGCTCCAACCTCCTCTCAGCAGCTGCAGAGCCAGCAGGTCTCCCCTCAGCTCCTTGTCTCCAGGCTGGACACCCCCAGCTCCCTCAGCTGCTCCTGCTCACACTTGTGCTCCAGCCCCTTCCCCAGCTCCCCTGCCCTTCCCTGGACACGCTCCAGCCCCTCAAGGTCCTTCTTGTTGTGAGGGGCTCAGAACTGACCCCAGGATTCCAGGTGCAGCCCCACCAGTGCTGTCACCAGAAGTGGATTCTTCTAAAAATTTTCTGAAGTTCAGTCCTCTCTCAGCTCAGAGGAACTGACAGAACCAGCCTGGGATGAAGTCCTCACTATTGGCTCTGCCATAAGTTGCTGCCAGGTGCTGTAATCTGATTAAGTCATCTCCCAAGGAGAAGGCTGAATTTATTTTGATGGAGCACCTGGTTTGAAAAGCCTTAGAAAGGCAGTGAGGGCCCATCTGCAGTGCACTCTGGGAAAATATAGACATTATGGGTTCATTCCCTCTTTCTTTTTTTTTAAATCTAAAATTCATCAATTTGTTTTCCACTTTTTCATTGTTTCTAGAATTATTTTTTTTTAAGTTGATACTAAAACATTGAGAAGTCCAGGAAATACTGAATATCATGTAATTTTTAAAATCAGTTTTCTTGGGATGTTCAGGTATCTGCTCATTTGACATCAACCCTATTTCCTTAATATTTTTCTTCTCTAATATGGTTTGAACTTACCAGGAATTGTGCATCCAATGAGCTTCACAGGGTGAGGACAGAGGAGGAAACAAAGTGGGTGAAGGCCCTAGAGAATCAGTCTGATGAAGAACACTTGAAGGAGCTGGGAATGTTTAGTTTGAGGAAGAGGAGGCTGAGGGGAGAGCTCATCAGTCTCTACACCTGCCTGAAAGGTCATTGCAGAGAGGTTGGTGCTGGTCTCTCACAGTCCTTAGTGACAGAACAAGAGGGAAGGGCTTCAAGCTGCACCAGGGCAGGGTCAGACTGGACATGAGGCACAATTTTTTCCCAGCAGGGGTGGTCAGACCCTGGAACAGGCTGCCCAGGGAGATGGTGGAGTCACCATCCCTGGGTGTGTTGAAGGGTGGTTTGGATGTGGTGTTGGTGGATGTGGTTTAGGAGAGATAATTTAGGGGAGAACTTTGTAGAGCAGGGATGATGGTTGGACTTGGTGATCCCAAGGGGCTTTTCCAACCTGAATGGTTCTGTGATAATAGTGAAAACATTTCACTGAAATTAAATATCTCTAACCTGTCCTCTTAGTCAAATCTGGCTTCTTCCTGTTGCTGTCAGGAAAAAGCAGAAGAAAAGGTACGAACAGGTTTCTTGTCATTACAAAGAAACATTAAACATTGTTTGCTTGTGTGTTGGACAGGGTTTTCTCTTGGTCTTTCTCTTACTCCCCACATCATGATAGGAAAGTCTTTCTTGTTAGCATGTTGGTGTGTCCTTTGCTGGTTAGGGTATCTGCCTTGACCTGCCTTGTTGTGACCTTGTCATGGTGCTCCTCCTTTTCTTTTCAGCTGGAGGATTGCACAAGGTTCCAGAAGAGCCTGTGATTCTGACATTGCTTTCTTGCTGCTCTTTATCTGTTTGCATTTTATTGCTGCAGTTTGTGCTTCTGCCTTAAATATGGTTTATAAACCCTGCCAGTTCTCCTGAGCTCCTTTGCTCTTAAACTCTCCTCTGGGATCTCACCTGCTGATGGTCAGGGTGCACTGCAGGCTGCTTTTTAAACACTCATTTTTTTTATTCTGCTCTTTCCCTCCCTTCCTTTCCCAGGAGCCATGTGCTCTGTCCTTTCATGATCAGTGTTTCATGATCAGCACCAGCATTTCCTCACCTTCATGTTCCCCACCAGCTATCAACATCAAGCAACTGGTCACTGGAGTGAGTGATACTTGTGCAGCATTTTCCCTCAAAGCTTCTTGAAAGGCTCCCTAACACCAAGCAGCACTCACAGGAGAGGGTGGCTGTTCTGGGAGGTTATCAAGCAAAAGCTGATTAATTAAAATAAGTGACTGAGGAGGGGGAACCCACTTTCACAGAGGTCAGTCTGTCAGGGACACTCTGGTAATGCTGGCAAATAAACAGGTCTGATAAGAATGCAAATGAAGCTGGATTGGAAAGAGGCTCCTTAGCCAGGGGAGGGCACAGTGACTGGGAACTCCTGCCATGGTTGGTTCAGTCTCACCTTGCTCTGTCATAATGGGGCTGTGCCACTGATGGCTTGTTTCTGGATTAGCAAATCAAACCTGTTTCACACCTGGAATATCTAATAAAATAAGGGTTTTTTTTCTGGTGCGTGTGTGTGGTTTGGGGGGAGATTCTTTCTCTTTGTGTTATTTTTGGAAGAGAAGGAATATTGTGCACAGTGACCTGTGCAGGATTCGGGGAGCTGGTGAGGTGGATCGTATGGGAAGGTGACAGTGAACTTCAGTCTGTGCCAGGGACTGTGAAACAATCTCATCAGCCACAAGACACTGTTTGCCCCTCCATTAGAAGAAAAAACTGCTTTTTGCCAAATAAACTGCTTTTAGATGTGACCTGGTGTGCTTTTAAAAAGTCAGGATGTGTTAAAAAATGTAAGGACTGTTAGACACTAATAATTAATAGCTGTCCAGTGTACATCAAGAGCTGAGTTATTTTTTTGCCAGCTTGCCCTGTTAAATATACAAGATACAAGTTATGTAGTTAAACACATAAAAGAGTTTTATAAATGCCTTTTTATAGTTGGTATTCAGAAAACCTTCTGTGTTGGCAGATGGAAAAAGCATAAGAGAAATTCAAAAAAGCAAAGCTGGTTTAGCTTAAAGGATCTTTGAGATAGTGAAGTAGTTTGAGAGCAGCATTTGAACGTTTGCTCTTGAAGTAGATGAAGAAATATTTGGGCCAAAGGCTGTTTTTATTCATGCCAGGTCTGGAATTTGTTGGTTTAGCAATGTTGAATTACAGAGGTGCAGGTCTCTCTCACTTGGAAGAAGTGAGTGGGAGTCTTCATTGTCTTCAATCAGCCACTTCATTCTGAGAAGGTGCTTCTCTCTGTGTTTTCTCCTTTAATTAAATGCTGGTCATCAGGTCCTAATGTCCATGTGGCTGGAAGGCTGAATATGGCAGGTGACCTTGGTCCTCCCCATGGCTGACCTCCAGGCATGATGGAGAGCAGTAGAGGAAATGGAGATCAGCTGGTCAGAAAACAGTTTCAGGAGTATAAATTACTTGATCTTGTTGCCCAGAGCTATGTTCATACACTGGTGCTGTTTTGAAAGGCACTGCAAAATCTGCTACACTTCTATTAATAAATTATTCAATGAGGTACATGCAGTAGAATTGGTAGGGGACAGTGGAGAAACTGATGTAGCATATTTTGGAAAAAAGCATGAGAAGATGGAGAGAACCAGGAGGTGAAAACACAGAAATGTGTTGATTTCCTTACTGTGATTCTTAAAGGCTTAATTACCCCTGTTTGATACTCACCTGAAGTGCAGCAAGGTTAGTGGGAAGTTTCTCTCTCCAGGGAGGGCTCTGTGCCCTGTCCAGGCTCTCTGGGTTGTGTTTGTGTGGGTGTGAGTATGAGGTACCAGACCAGTTGCTTGTAAGATTTCATTTGATGGGGCTCTGAGCAACCTGATTTAGTGGGAGGTGTCCCAGCCCATGCAGGGGGGTTGGAACTGGATGATCTTTAGGGTCCCTTCCAACCCAAACCATTCCATGATTTGCTGGCCAGGGGGTAATTTTTCCAGATGACTTGCAGCGGCTTTGTAACATTCTGTCATGTTGATCAAGAAGGGAATGGGGATGAGCTCATATCTTCCAGGTGCTTGGGTGGAAACCTTTTACCTCTGGTACAAAATAGGTGTGTTATGGTTAACATAAACTGCAAGGTCCATTATTTCTGAGAGCCTGGAAGGAGAGGGGTATGAGAATGATGTTCAAAGATGACTTCTGAAAGTGGTCAGAAGGAGGATGTTGCTGAGAATTATTTCTTGCTTGTAATATTATTAAGCAATGCCAAAGTCCCCAGGGTGACAGATGGGTTCTTCCACGTATGTTACAAATAACAGTTAAGTAACTGTCTCTCTTTCCTTCAGACATCATACAAATCCAGTGGGCACAGAGTGGCGATGGAAGATGGACCAACCTGAAATGATCTTGCAGGAAGCTATTGAGAACCATCAGAACATGATCAAACAGTTCAAAGGTAACTTCTCCCACTTCTTCCCTGTTAATGATGCTCTTGGAAGATAATGAGCAGTAGCATCTTCAAAGCATAAAGGAAGATGTTCTGATCATCTGTGAAATGCTAGGAAGGGGGAATGGAATTTAGAACATCAGAAAGATGGGTGAGAAGAAACTTTTGTGGCACACTTGTTGTGTTTCCTGAGATGTTCTGCCTGGTTTTTGCTCCTGAGCTGACAGCAGAGGTTATGTGAGCAGCAGGACTGGAATGGAGCATCCATAACATTTGCAGCATGAGCCTTAGTCCTGGCTCTTGTTTTGGGAACCCATTTGTTTATGTTGGCTGTGCAGAGAGAGAACGTGATGGTTTAAAAATGTGACAGGCAAAAAACCCTTCTGTCAGCAGGGCAGAGTTGCTCTGTCTCATTCACTGGAGTTATATGATAGGCATGAAAATGACTCAGGTCAGGGCTCAGGAGCTTCGTTCTCATCCAGTGGCTGGTTTGAATAATCTCACCCTCTCTGACCAGCTGGTTCTGTGGGAGCTCCAGGGCTGAACTGGGTGGGGAGCAGCCAAAAGAACCAGACCTGGCCTTTCACATCCACACAGTCCAGTGAGGTGGGAAAAGAAAAGGTGTGTTACTTTTTCAGAGTGGTAGGTGGCAACACAGTTCCTGTCTTGGGAGCCTGAAAGCAAAAGGTTTATTAAGAAGAAAAAAAAGCAGTAAGAGAAGCCCAGCAGCTCACTACTTTTAGTGAATTTTACATTGTCTCTTCCCTGAGGTACATGTGAAAATATTGTTAGAGTAGAATCAGTGGAAGCAAAATTGAGTTGAAACACTGTGCAGGAAGCTGAAGGCAGGAGAGTTAAAAGATGTACAGTGTCCCAAGTGTCCTGTGTGCCCTGCCAGAGCTGTACTGTCCAGGTTGGAAGTGCCTCAGGCAGAAAACATGCCTCCCTGCTTAGGAACCCTCCACAAATAATAAGTCAGATTTTTTGATCATAGATTTTAAAAGATAAAACCCCACCCATACCCCACAGACTGCCCCAAGGCTTGAGCAGTGGGACAGACCAGGTTGCTTTGTTGCAGAGGTAGGACACGATGACCTGAGGGCTCCAAAGGAGATTCCAGCAGGATGCTGTGTATCTCTGCTGAGGTGTTTGAACAATGACCCCCAGCATTAGAGCAGACCAGCCTATTTGAGCTACTGGAGAAGAAAAACATGGAGAAAATTTCTTAGCTAGAGAGCCCTTGAGGCTCTGGAGTGTCTGGTAATACTGCTCAGGTGACACCCAAAGCTATTTGAATAAACCTGGTGCTCTTTCTAGTACCAGCATCACACACCTCCATACACCAAAGGTGAGCTCATCTGATGCTTTATTCCACATGTTGTAGCAAAAATGAGATCATCTTGACAGAGCAGAACTCTTGGGGACCCTCTATCCTAGAGGATACCCCTCTGTCCTGTCAGAGTCCCAGAGTCCCTCTGCATGGTTTTGGAGATTATGACAAGTCATCTTCTCTTTTATTGTTGCTATAGTTTGTACTGGTTTTGAAGACTATGGATGTTAATTAATGTCACATCATTCTCTTTTAGAGTAACTGGTGGAGAGATACCTTCCTGACAGGGAGCTGAGGTGGGAAGGTGTGAAGTAGTTTGATGGACACATTTTCTGTGTAGTGATGAGTAAATCTCTGTGCCCCTGCAGAGGGCACACACAGAATGGAAACATAAATCAAAAATAGGAGAGTAGGACTCTGATAATAGAGTCCTGGTTCAGCCTGGGGGGGGGGAAATGAAAAAAACAAACAAGTGTGTGAGCTAGACTAGGAACTCTTGACTACCTGTGTGTCTTGCTGTGAGTGGATAAAACAGGTTCCTTGTCTCCCCAGTCACCCAGGCACTTGTGAATGATGGTGCACAGGTACTTGTAGAGGGGTAACCAAGTCAACAACCAGCCTGTCAGTGATGTGCCAGATGGTGCTTTTCTTTCCCAAATTAAAGTGCACCATGAGGACAGCAGTTGGAATGAGCTTTTCAAAGGAACTGTGCTGATCAAAGGAGGCTTGGCTGCATGCTCTGCTGAGATCTGAGCTGGGCAGGAGCTGAAAGCTGTACTCCACGACCTCTTGCTGAGGCTTCTCAAGTTCCTATGGCTCTAAGCTCCTGTGTTGGATCTGCTGCATGCTGTGCCAAATCTGCCCAGGCTCTGGCTTTGCTGAAGTTCATTGACTGGAGACAGAATGAGGCTCATCTACAGGAGCAGAGGTTGAGTCCTGTAGTGGTATGGCAGCCAAAGGTGCAGGAGAGTTCCTGTGCTCCCTTTAATACTCACTAATGCTGTTTAGTGTATCCCTGTCCAGCTTGTGATTTTATGTGGGCAAATGATTGCATACAAAACCTCTGCCCTCCTCTGCAGTGTATTTACTACATGCCAGATTTGCTATAAACTGGTTTGAGCAAGTTACTCTCAAACTTTGTGATGATGGATTTTTTTTCTGTTTGCTTGTAAATCTGGCAAGTTAATTATCCTAGTCCAATTGCAAGATGCTGAGAGAGAGAAATTAATTAATTCCAAAAATTACTGTACCTTTAAGAATACCAAAGTTAGTCCTTTAATCTCAGTGTGTGCTTGAGATGCTTCTTTTCAAATCAAGTTCTCATTTAGCACTGTCAGGTTTCTGTGGAATAACTGTTCCTCCTGTCACTTACTCAGGACTGAGCCTGGCTGGTTTAAAATGCAGTAAGCTTTGTAAAATGCACTAAGCTTTGCTCTGATCACAAACCAGCTTTTCTACACGAGGCTGAAGAAATAGCCACAAACATCTTTTTATCTTTGCTTCACAGCATAGCATGGAATTTTCTGTACTGCTTGAGCTCCAGCATCTAGGCAGTGAGGGGTGAGCTGAGGCCCTGGTTTCAAACTCAGGTCTTTGTTTTTTGAAAACAGACCAACCCTGGGTCTAAAACCTCAGGTTTTATTCCAGTACATCAATGCATGTCAAGGAAATGTGAAGTGACGTATTTGGAACAAAAGCTTGTTTGTAGTCAGATGGTTTCATATGGGGTCCTGAGCACTTGGTTGGATGTGGATGGAGGGAGAACTATTTTCCTCTCCCCTGTACTCCCGTGGGTATCATAACTGTGACTCAGATTGGTGAAACCTGCAGACAGCATTTTCACATGGATCATAGAATCATAGAATCATAGAATCTTAGGGGCTGGAAGGGACCTCGAGAGATCATCTAGTCCAACCCCCCTGCCAGAGCAGGGTCACCTAGAGTACATCACACAGGAACTCATCCAGGTGGGTTTTGAATGTCTCCAGTGAGGGAGACTCCACAACCTCCCTGGGCAGTCTGTTCCAGTGCTCTGTCACTCTCACAGTAAAAAAAATTTTTCGGATATTCACCTTGAACTTCCTGTGCTCCAATTTACACCCATTACCCCTTGTCCTGTCACTGGTCATCACCGAGAAAAGCCTAACTCCGTCCCCCTGATACTCACCCCTTACATATTTGTAAACATTGATGAGGTCACCCCTCAGTCTCCTTTTCTCCAAGCTAAAGAGACCCAGCTCCCTCAGCCTTTCCTCATAAGGGAGATGTTCCACTCCCCTAATCATCTTCGTAGCTCTGCGCTGGACTCTTTCAAGCAGTTCCCTGTCCTTCTTGAACTGAGGGGCCCAGAACTGGACACAATACTCCAGATGTGGCCTCACCAATGCAGAATAGAGGGGGAGGAGAACCTCTCTTGACCTACTAACCACACCCTTTCTAATGCACCCCAGGATGCCATTGGCCTTCTTGGCCACAAGGGCACATTGCTGGCTCATGGTCATCCTCCTGTCTACCAGGACCCCCAGGTCTCTTTCACCTACACTACTCTCCAGCAGTTCAGCCCCCAACCTGTACTGGGACATGGTGTTGTTCTTCCCCAAATGTAAAACTCTGCACTTCCCCTTGTTGAATTTCATCATGTTTCTCCCCGCCCAACTCTCCAACCTATCTAAGTCTCTCTGAATGGCAGCACAGCCTTCTGGTGTGTCAGCCACTCCTCCCAGCTTAGTGTCATCAGCAAACTTGCTGAGGGTACATTCTATACCCTCATCCAGGTCGTTGATGAAGATGTTGAACAACACCGGTCCCAGCACCGACCCTTGTGGGACTCCACTAGTAACACACCTCCAACCAGATTCTACCCCATTGACTACAACTCTCTGACTCCTTCCTTTCAACCAGTTCCTAATCCACCTCACTTCCTGGTCACCAAACCCATACCTGATCAACTTATCCACAAGGATGCTGTGGGAGACGGTGTCAAATGCTTTACTGAAATCAAGATAAACCACATCTACCGCTCTACCATCATCTATCCACCTAGTAATTTCCTCATAGAAGGCTATGAGGTTAGTCAAACATGATTTACCCTTGATAAAACCATGCTGACTGCTCTTGATGACCCCCATGTCCTTGATGTGCCTGGAGATAGTCACAAGAACAAGTTGTTCCATCACCTTTCCAGGGATGGAGGTGAGGCTGACCGGTCTATAGTTACCCGGGTCCTCCTTCTTGCCCTTCTTGTAGACTGGAGTGACATTTGCTATCCTCCAGTCCTCAGGCACCTCACCTGTTGCCCATGATTTACTGAAGATGATGGAGAGTGGCCTAGCAATGACCTCCGCCAGCTCCCTCAGCACCCTTGGGTGCATTCCATCTGGACCCATTGATTTATGGATGTCCAGATTACTCAACTGATCCCTAACCCAATCCTCATCTACCATGTCAAACTCTTCCTCTATCTTGACTTCTTCTGGGGCTATATGAATCTGGGGCTCATAGGGAGACCCTGCAGGAGTGAAGACAGAGGCAAAGAAGGCATTCAGCACCTCTGCCTTCTTTATATCCTCTGTCATCAGGGCTCCCTGGATGCTACAGTTGAGCTCCTTGTGTTTCCCTCTTTGTTCTGAAGTGTCTCTTGCTGTTCAGGATGGTGTCATGGGTTGGGTTTTCTTCCTGAATGCATCCTCTGTGGAGTTGTTTCGTGTAGGTGCCAGTACAGGTTCAGACCTAGTTGTTGGTGCTCTGCTTGGTGAGGTGTGCCCAGCTCCTCTGGGGAGCTGGTCCTCCTGGGGCTGAGGGACCACAGGGCTTTCAGCGGAGGAGATGGACACAACCTGCTTTTATCTTTTTTTTTTTTTTTTAAAGGTGCCTACTTGAAGTTTCGGGCAGCATCACTGGGGTTCTCAGAAGGGAAAGCTTGACTCAAATGTTATTAAAAAACTGTTGGCACTAGTTAAGAGAGCAGATGGAGCCCCAAGCTCCGTGTCTGTGTTTTGTGGATTCCTGTGGAACTGGCTTGATGGGCACTGCCCTGTGCCCTGGTGTGCGCTCTGGTTCAGGAGGGCTCCAGCTGGTTTGGCTCAGCCTTCCGTGTGCAAGGGAGCATTTTAGATATGGATGCATAGTTTGGGATAGGGTTGCAGTTGATTTAAGCCTGTTTTCCCTCCTCTTGCAGGTGTGTCAGGAGTGAGAGCAGACAGGTTTGCAGAAGCACTGGCAGCCAAGCACTGCGCGCTCTCGCTGGTGGGAGAGCCCATCATGTACCCGCAGATCAACCGCTTCGTGAAGCTCCTGCACCAGCACAGCATCTCCAGCTTCCTAGTTACAAATGCACAGTTCCCAGATGAGATTAGGTAAGAGCTGGGTGAAATATCTCCCTGCTAAAACATTTGAGTGCTGACCTGTGTTTTAATTCCATTTTATCACTCATCAGAATCAGCTCTGCATGAGCTCTGACAGTGAAAGAGCCTGCTTGGCATCTGCTTGATTTTAATCTTAATCTCACTGCTTCTTCTCATCTCTTTGTCTCCTCTAGTTTGATTTTCTTTTCTGTATCTCTTAAAGTGTGATTACTTTTGAAAGTGAAGAGAATGTAATATAGCACCTTCTGGAGGTGCAAGGGAAGGAGAACAACAGCAAGTGAGCTGCGTTTCGTGCTTGGGGACCTGGAGAACTGGTGTGAGTGTTTCTGACAGTTTGGGCAGGAGACCAAGCTCCTAAATTGCCTTTCTGGTTTGTGTGCTTCTCCTGCAGCCTGATCTTTGCTCTAACTCTGTAAGACCAGCTTTAATGGTTCATACCCAAGATGCATGCAGCCCAGCATCTCCAGCAGGACCTAGAGTGCAGGGTGAGAACAGGTGAACAGTGTGTGCACACACCTGCAGAAGCAGGGCCAGTAATTTTTAACCTCCCTTTCAGACAGACCCGAGTTTAAGGTTCAAAACATTTGAATGACCTCTGATGAAAATCTTTACAAACACGAAGAACCCCCTTTTCTGATGCCCTGGAGCATCCAGGCTGCTCTACAATGAAGCAATGTAGGAAGGAGACATGGCACAGTGTGAGGTGCCTGGAGCTCGACAGAAAGTCAGGCTGCCAATTCCAGCCCTGGAGGTGTGTGAGGAGCTGGCAGAACTGGATGCTGGGGCTCTGGTATCTCCCTCAGCTTGTCATTGCAGCTCTCTTAGCACTTTTCTGGTAGAGCTTCCTTTCCACTTCCTTATTGAGGTCCAAGTATGGCAGTGAGGGGGGGGAGGTGTGCAATTTTCAGTGAGTAATTATACACTACAAAGGCATTCCAAATGATTGAATAATTGTGTAATCAAGTTACTTTAAGTCATCTATTATGTGCCTGATAGACATAAATTGCTCTTTCCTAAAAATAGCATTTTAACAAGAGAGCACACACTGTATTTTGAAGCTGCGTCTCTTAGGATCTGCTGAATGTTATTAAAAAGAAACAAAAAAGAAAGTGATAAAATGCTAGTCTTGCTGTCTTAAAAATTGCAACTGATCCTTGGCTCATCAAAGCAAATGATTTGCTTAATGTGGGAGCTGAAGTGTGCACCAGGCTCACTTTTGTGTTGTCAGCAGAGGGTAGTTACAGTCTAAAAGTCCTAAAATAGGCAACACAGCCTCTAGCATCCAGTGGATGCCAGGGAGCATGGCCTGGGGTGGTCACTGGCTTTAGGAGAAGGGCTCCATGGCTTGGCCTCCAGCTCGGTGCTGCCTGTGCCTCCCTCCCTCCTCTCCTCTGCATCCTCCTCTTCCTCCTCTTGTATTTTGGCTGCAGCTTCATCCTCCTCCAGGCACACATATGTTTTCATAAAGTGAAGGAGGTTTTATAGCATGTGAACTCATACAGAGCAGTTACCTGGCTCTTGTTCTCTTCCTCTTGTTCCTGATTAGTGGCTGTGAACAAAACCCCTTGTGTATGTTTGCATTTATGAACATCAGTAATGAGCAGATGCTTCCTATTGCTCATAAAAATGAACATTTGCTTATTATATTGGTGTTTCCTTTGTATTATTGACTTGGCTGTGTCCTGTCTGGCTTGTGAAACCACCTCATGGCTGGTGGCCTGAAGGCAGTTTATTGCTCTGGAGTTGTGCTGTGCTACTTGGTCATGATTTCTACCCAAGTGGTAAATACTGGGAACTTGATCTCCTGGGCTGGTTCTCCATGTCTGAGCTAGCTTAGAAATTACAACCAAAAATAGAGGAGCTTCAGAAAATCCATCTCAGTACCATGCAACTAAATTTCCTGTTAATTATGAAATGTAGCTGGGACCTGGGAACATCAGTTTTGCTTTTTCAGGTGCTGGCTGGACCTGTGACTGCCCTGTCTCCCTGTTCCCTTTGGCAGAGCATGCACAAGGTCATCCTGGCCATGGCAGGGCCCTGTGGGCCTCTCCATTTTGGAGCAGCATGGGGTAGAAATCCCTCCCTGGCATCTCTTCTGAGTCTTTAATTTTCTCCAGATGGAGACCAGTGACAAGTGGTGTTCCCCAAGGGTTGGTACTGGGACTGGTGCTGTTTAACATCTGTGTTGGAGACATGGACAGTGGGGTTGATGTCCCCTCAGCAAGTTTGCTGACAGCACTGAAGTGTGTGGTGAGGTCAACACACTGGAGGGAAGGGATCCATCCAGAGGGACCTTGGAGGCTTGAGAAGTGGGCTCATGAAAACTGCATGAAGTTCAGCCAGGCCACATGCAAGTTCCTGCACCTCAGTCAGGGCAATCCCAAGCACAAATACAGGCTGGGGGGAGACTGGGTTGAAAACAGCCCTGAGGAGGACTTGGGGTGGTGGTGGAGGAGAAGCTCAACATGAGCTGGCAATGTGTTCTTACAGCCCAGAAATCCAACTGTGTCCTGAGCTGCATCAAAAGAAGCATGGCCAGCAGGTCAAGGGTGCGGTTTCTTTCCTTTTACTCAGCACTTGTGTAATCCCACCTGGAGCACTGTGTCCAGTTCTGGAGCTCCCAACATAAGAAGGACGTGGAGCTCCTAGAGAGAGTCCAGAGGAGGCCACAGAGATGATCCAAGGGCTGGAGCAGCTCTGCTCTGGAGCCAGGCTGGGAGAGTTGGGGTGTTCAGCCTGGAGAAGAGAAGGCTCCAGGGAGACCTTAGAGCAGCTTCCAGGGCCTGAAGGGGCTCCAGGAAAGCTGGGGAGGGGCTTGGGACAAGGGCAGGGAGGGATGGATGAGGGGGAAGGGTTTCAGACTGAAAGAGGGGAGATTGAGATGAGATTTTAGGATGAAATTCTTCCCTGTGAGGGTGGTGAGAGCCTGGCCCAGGTTGCCCAGGGAAGCTGTGGCTGCCCCATCCCTGGCAGTGTTGAAGGGCAGGTTGGATGGGGCTTGGAGCAGCCTGGGCTGGTGGGAGGTGTCCCTGCCCATGCAGGGGGTTGGGACTGGATGATCTTTAAGGTCCTTTCCAATCCAAACCATTCTATGATTCTATCATAACAGTACTGAGTCTGCTGGCTCTTGCCTGTCCTGACAACTGAGATCCTCAGGGAAGAGAGGATTTTTCTTAGCTAATATTTTGAAAAACAGTTGCTTCATCTCCACTGGGGCCCCTTTTAATTAGGCAAATGCAGCATTAAGTAAAGAAAAGAGTATTTTGGCTGCATTCCTTGAAACTGAATACTTTGATCCACTTCTGCCTAGAACATTTGGTCATGCTTGGAGATGGTGGCTTTGGGCTGCCAGTCCAGACAAGCTTGTTTACAAAATAGCTTTTTTTTTTAACCTAAAATGTTAAAATTGTTCTGGGCTATTTCATTCCTCTCTCTAAATGAATAGAAAGAGAATATGTTTAGATAGGCTGCTTGTGTTCATGTCAACAAAGTGGATTTTTCTGGACACCAAGAGCTCTGCTTAGTCTCATTCTGGGTAGTTTTTGTCACTTTGTCACCTTTGGGGAGGGCAAGAGGTTGGGTGTATTTTTAAGTGGCAGGGTTTGGCAGCTGTACAATAGCTTCTAATTGCTTCCCAGCTTCTACAGAAGCAAATCAAGCTGGGACTGTAGCCTGCTCATTACTGGCCTTCACCAAAACCACTTGCAAAATGCTGTCCCACAACTGATAAGGGCTGAAGAGACCACTAGGATATTGCCATTTCATCTTGGAGACACCAGGGTGGCAGATGCCATGAGAAGAGGTATGAGTGTTGCACTCAACTGGCTTTTTCAGCTTTCTCTGTGGTGAGAGAGCTTGTTTTAGGTTGTTCCTCTTGATACCCTTCATTATCCCTTTGCTGATGGGCTGCAATATTGCTGCTTCTCCCTGAGGTTTCCCAAAGGGATTAGACTTGGCCCAGGCTCTTCACACAGCAGAGCAGGGTGAATATTTTTCCAGGTTCTTGGTGTTGGTCTCACAGGTGCTGTGCTCACTGGCTCTGTGTGACCAGAAAGACTTTACTGCAGGGTTTATATGAAATAAAAGCTTTGGAAGTGGAAGGAGAACTCACTGGGGGATTGTGCTTGGGTTTATTTCCTAAACAGCTTTGATTTACTTTCCAAAACTGGTTTGAGTGATGCCAGCTGCAGGTCAGGTAAGTTCAACGTGTCCAGAAGTAGAAGCTGGCTGATTTAGTGCTGTATTTCTATTAAATGGGATTATTTTTCTATGATTCAAGGCAAATAGAGCCTGGGGAAAGAGCTGAGCTCAATGTTTTTTAACCATGGGGAGCTGGGGTGAGAGGTAGATCCTTTCAGAGCCTGGTGTGAACCTCTGGCAGCTTGTTTCAGGAAGCCTTCTGAATGTGTTAGAGCAACACTGGAGTGAAACATGTTCCAGTTCAGTGAGGAGAAGATAATTAAAATGTCAGCCAAGACCTCTGTATGTGAAGTTCTTCACTTGGGGGTGTATTATTTGTTGCAAGTAGTTTGCAATGCCTTGCTCTGCACACGATGGTCACTTGGCAGAGATGAACCACTGGACTTGTTAGTTAGTTTTTCCTGTAAATAATGTATAGTTCCTGTCACTGCTGGACCAGCAGAGTGGCTTGTTCAGTGATACTGTGTTTTATGTGTGCTGTGGTAGGAAAACACAAATTCAGCTAGCAGTCATGTCTGAAAATAACCATCCCCTTCTTTTTCTTTCCAAGGAACCTTGAGCCAGTAACTCAGCTGTATGTCAGTGTGGATGCCAGCACCAAAGACAGCCTGAAGAGAATTGATCGACCCCTCTTCAAGGATTTCTGGCAGAGGTTTCTGGACAGTTTAAAGGCCTTGTCTGAAAAGGTACCCACTTAGGAATGTGTTTTTTTTTAATTTCTTCCCCCCTTTCTTCTGCACCTGACCTACTCAGGACAAAAGCAGAAGACAGAGAGGGGCTGTGGAGTGGATTCTGGATTGTTGGGAGCTTATTGAAGTGTTTTGTACATTAAGTTGTATAAAGTACAGCAAGTTTGGGAAGTTTTCCATGTGGGGAGAAATTTAACAAGAGGAGAGCAGAATGTGTGTCAAATGGGACAGTAAACTTTGCTGTGAATGTAAGAAGCTATGAGAGATGAAGAGATTATAAAAGAATAGAGTATTTCCTAATGAAGTGTTTACACTGGAAGCAGGCTGCTGAAGGGAACTGGAAAGTCAGGGCAGCCAAGGAAGAGTCATAAATCTCCATGTGGCACTTAGCACTGGTTCTCCAAGGTTCTCTTGAAATTGCAGTGTGTCAAGGACATGAAAATGTGTATGCTGGAGTTGCTGGCTCTACTTGTCCTCCACAGAAATGTGCTTATTTCTGGAATATTTAGCCAAAACAGTAGATTTGAGCATAATAGCAAGGGTGCCCCTTGTCACTGTCAGTAGTTTGTCTGTCTGAATGGTGACCTTGAAGGCACATGGGATCATGTCTGCTGCTCTCAGCTTGGCACTTAGTCTGCCATGCAACAGTTCTTATAGTAATTAATGAAGCCCTCGTGCTGATGGGAGTACAGGGATTGATAGGAAGAGTGATTCATCAGTGTGTCTTCCCTCTTATTTACTGAGCCTGTGCTCTGATGGAAGCAAGTACTTCTGTTTACTGATTTGGCAGAAGGTGACATGTTACCTGCTGAGATGAACAGGCAAGAGCGACTGTTTCCTTTGAATAATGAGTTTTCCTCTCTCTGAGATGACAATGTTGGGCCATTTCCTGCCAAACACACTTACATGAGGAGATCTGGGAGACTCGGTGTAACGGAGTGATTCTTTCTTCTGCAAAGACATGTGAGCAGCTTGATCAAGCTCTTTGCTTGCAAGTGTGCTGGCTGAGACTGCTCAGCAAAACTCAGCCCAAACTCTGAGCTTACTGAAATGGGGTAAACTCATTGACACTCACAAACTTACTAAATTTTCTGTGTGTGTAGAGGAGACCGTGGAAACAAGGGGAGTTAAAAAAGAGAAGGCAAAAGCATTGAAAAAGCCTTTGGGGAGCTTGCTTTTGCCCATCATTTCTTTCCTTCTGCCTCTCTTGACCCTGGATGGATACAGGTCATTCATTGCTGTGTGTTGTCAGAAACTTCCTTGCAGAGAATTGAAGGTGAAAGTATTGGCAAGTTTGTCCATATAGCTAAAAATACTCTGGTCAAGGTGAAGAGGAGAGGAAAAAGAAGCTCAACTAGCAGGTGCATTTTCTGCTCCAAGCAAATGCACTTTGAAGGGTCCTTGAAACTCTGATATCACAAGAGCCAATTAAGAGTTGCTGCAGTTGTAAGACACTGTTCTGCCAGCCCCTCAGCGCTGTGTGTTGCATCATTGCACATGGGGCCAGCAAGGAGCCCTGGGGAAGCTTCTGGTTGTTAGGTTTCTCACTTAATGTTATACGTGGTTCTGGCACCCCAGAATTATCTGGAACCTGTTTCTGGGCAGAAGCAGCTTTCTGTTTTCTGCCTGGTGTTCACGTGTGGTGATAAGCACCGTTCTGTAGGACGGTGATGAATGGAAGGTGGTGAAAGCTGATGCATCTGCTGATTCCTGAGAAATACAGCTCCTGTTTCAGACTAGATGGGGAAGTGCTGATGCATTGTGTTGGGAAAGTGATGCTAATATATCTGGAAACAAAATACAAGTCCTGTATTTTCACACTGCCTGACAAACCATCCAGGCTTATTCATTTCTCCCGAGACTGAGACAAGCTGGCATTGCAGCTGATATGAGTCACTGCTAATAAGAGTCATGGACAGGTTTGATCTCTGCACATTTAAAAAAATAAACAAAAATGGGAGAGTGGAGATTTTAAAACCACTGGCTGTGCTTGCTGCACCATCACCTGGCTGACTGTGTCTGCCAGCAGGGACAGAGCCCCCCTGTCCCCAGGCTCCCTGTTGCAGGGATGGGTGTTTGGAGACAGGTCCTTCTGCACAATGTTGATAAACCAAATAGATGAGTGGGAAAAGGAAGAGGAGAGAACACAGTCCTGGGTGAGAAAGCAGTGAGGGTGTCCTTCTTGGCTGTTCTCCTTCCTGTTACCAAAAAGCAGGCTGATTCTGGTTAAAAATGGAAATGGAAGGGCTGGGGAAAGAGCTGGGTTTCAAGTTTGTTGCTTTAGTGAGGTAGTTACATTGATAAGGGATCTAATGATTTAAATTGAAATATTGCACAAAGTTCTTGAGCCTTTAACAAAAGAATGAATTTAATTATGAATTGTTCCCAGTATGCTGTCCTACAGCATGTTGGTGATTAGTTGCTGCAGCATTTTCAAAGCAAGTTCAGGAATTAAAGATACAATTTTGTGATACATCCTGCTGCAGAAAACAGCAAGAAACCCCCTCATTGTCCATTGCTGTTTGCAGCAAGGTTTATCCCTTCTACACTGATTCTCATTGAGATGTTGTCAGTGTTAAATTTCCCATGCTGAGAAATGGTTTTTGAGAGGAGTTTGTTAAGCAGCAGGTAGGCTCCCAGATGGCTCTGTTTGTTTCTTGTCATGTGTCTTCTGCCCTCCAAATTAAATGGAGAAGAAAAGACATTAACATGTGAAATTTAGAATGTGCCCTTTCCAAACGTCACCTTTGAGAAGCCTTGTAGTCTCATCCTCTGACAGCCTGGAGTTCATTGGGATGATTGAGAGGTGACTTGACTCTATAGCCAAGTGTTTGGAGGAAGCACTAAGGATGTGAACCTTGTTCTCATCTTAAGGATGAGAAATCTCTGTTCCCGTGGTTGAAGGGCACTTCTGGACCTTGCTGCTTCACAATGCTACATCCAGATGAGAAGTAAGGTACAAATGAATAACAAGGGTCCAGAAGCTCAAGAGGGAAAGAGGTAGATTTTCCATTCCTTGACATTTTATGCTCAGGTTGTTGCTTGCTTTTTTTATTTTACGTTTTTCCAAACATGGCATTAACCAAACATGTGCTGTCTGAACAGGAAAATAAGGACCTGGTGTTCTGTAAGTTATCCCCCAACGTGATCCATTTTTATTTTGACTTTGTGCTGTTTCCCTCAGTGTTACTGGGCCAGATTGTGCAGGTTGAGGAATTTTGAAAGCTGCTGTTGTTCTTGTCCTCCATGAATCACCAAGAGTTCTCCCAGGGGATGGGGATGTTGACTGAGACAATTGGGAATTCCAACTCCCCAAACCTGCTGGTAGATGAAGTGGGGATGCAGTGACCCAGGGTGGCAAAAGTCCTTACAGATTTCTACCCAAGCACCTTGACAATACCTGGACCAAAGATGGTGATGGACATACCAGCAGAACTTCCCCATTTGTCATTCAATATTACACTGCAATGTCTCTGAGCATCCTTTTTTCCACCTGTTGAGAATAAGACAACTCTTGAAGCAAGAAGCTGTTGCTCTGTGGAAGTTCCTGGGTTAGATGAGCACTGGGGAAAAGGTCCCTGGTGTCCTTCATGTGCTCTGGGGAGCCCTATTCCAACCTTGACCTGGTGTCACCTCTTCTGTTTGCATCTTCCTGACTTCATCATGGTAAATCCTGTCCAGTCTGCTCTTTCCACTGTACCCCTCACAGTACTTGCAGTGCTGCCAGGCACCACCAGGCGCTGCTGAACTGCTGGAACTTTGAGAGGACAAGTGCCAATGTTCTCTCAGATTGGAGCCACGAGCAAAGAAAACGGGCAAAAAACCCTTTAGGTTAATAGATGTTATGGCACTGCAGGAACTGATGATGAAGCAGAACCTTATCCTTCCTGTCCTTCCAGGAGAGGCACAAAAAGCTAAAAAAACAGCTTACTGGTGCTTTCTGGAGTTCAGTTAGCTGGGGTCTTCAGACATCACACACAACCCTTGCTTTAGATCAGAGGAAAACCTTGCCCTCCACTATTACAAAGGAGTTAAAATTTTGTAGAGAAACAGGGTCATGGCTCTGTGGGCAAGGTGTAGAAAATGTCTTGCATTTTCTTCCCCCTCCCCCCCGCTATTAAAAAGGGATCAACAAGGAAAATTCTTACCTCTGCTTGTCCTAGGATATCTCCTATTTGACAGTGTGTGGGTTTGGTGCCTGTGGGTCTGTACTCCTTGCTGGAAGGTGAAGTAGGTGGTTTGTCCAGAGAAAGGCATAAGCTATAAAGGCATCTGGTGTTACCATCTTCAGGTCTGCATTTGCAGGGTGCTCACAGGGAGATCCTGTTCCATTCCTGGAGGGTGAAGCTGCCAGCTTGCACGTTCAAACATTTTCAGCCTTGCATCTGGTGCTGTTTACTTTAGTCTTTTTTTTTTTTTTTCCCCAACGTGATCCTTTCTTCTATATGATTACAAACATAGTGTAAACATGTTGAGTTCCATCTTAAGCATGTTTCAGTCCTAATTATATAATATATGACAGTAACAATTGCTTTTATGAAAAGAGTAGATTTGATTTGCATGGTGATTATTTATGTGGCTACTGGAGGAGGGGAGCTGTTCCTGGAGGGTGAAGCTGCCAGCTTACGTTCAAAAACTTTTTCACCTTTGCATCGGGTGCTTTTTATTTTAGTTTTTTTTTTTTTTTTCCCCAACGTGATCCTTTCTTCTATATGATTACAAACATAGTGTAAACATGTTGAGTTCCATCTTAAGCATGTTTCAGTCCTAATTATATAATATATGACAGTAACAATTGCTTTTATGAAAAGAGTAGATTTGATTTGCATGGTGATTATTTATGTGGCTACTGGAGGAGGGGAGCTGGTTTGTGGAGCAGAGTCTGATGTTTCTGAGCCAAGTGACTTTTAAAGGAGAATTTAAATGTAAAATTTGCAACAGATGTTAGAATCAGTAATCAATTTTGCCACTATAAATTTAGAAGAATTTGACTCTTC